GCCCTGACTCGTGGCGGTGCGGGGGACCCATGGGTGCCTCAGCAGCGCGGGGTGATGCTCGTGCCGGGGCTGAGCATCCCCTCCCCACCGCCAGCGCCTCTCCTGGGGTGATTTCCAGACAGATGCTCCCTGACCTGTGGTCCAGCACCCGCTAACCCATCTCGCCAACGCCCTTCTTCCTCCTCTTCCTCTCCCAAAGCCTTTCCCCCACCCATAGAGCATCTGTCTTGGAAACCAACTTCAAAAAGAATTTTTTTTTTTTTAAGCTGGAAATTTTAAGTGTTTTGGCTTCTTCCCCTTCCCCCCTGCCCTTCCTTCAGCCGACTAACTCGACTTAGAACTGGTTAGAAACGTTTACTGTGAAGCTAACTTTTTTTTTTTTTAATCAAACCAGGAGAAACTTTCTCCACTTTACAATTGATGAAGACTGCCAAAGCTGGTTTGACAAGAGTCGTGTTCACACACTGTTGGTTTGTGCAACGGCAGCCTCTGCTTGGGGGCTGGCTGGAAAATAAAAATGAGAACGGGGAGAAAAAAAAAAAAAAAAAAAAAAAAAAACAAAAAAGGAAAAAAAAAAAACCCTACAAAAACAAGCACTTTACTGTATGTACCAGGTGAACTGATACAGCTGAATTGAAGTTTTCCTTTATAACAATTGTTGATGCCAGAATTTTGTATTCTGTTTTGTAAGAATTTAATAAAAATGCATTGAGACCTATGTGGGTGGCAGATGGCTGGCCTGGGGGGGGATTTGGGGAGGGAAGGGATTCCCCCCACCATGTTCCCTTCAAGGGCTCCTTCCCATGGTCGTCCTTTTTCCCCTTCTCTGCCAGCTCCTTCCCAGTCCAATGCTGGGCCTGGGGGGGGCTGGGGGGCAGGTTCGGATGCCAGGACGAGGGCCGGGCTGGCAGCGGCTCAGGTCCTGACTCACTTTTCCCAGCAGGGTGGTGTGATCCACCAAATTCCAACCTGGGGCTGGAGGGGCAGGGTGCAGCCCTGTGCCCTCTGCCAGCTGCAAACAGCAGTGGGGAGGCTGCCGGCTCCCCACCACCCCTTGCAGACCCCCCCAGCCCATTTTCCATCACCCACCCCCTTATCTGTCAGGTTGTCGAGGGGGAAACTGAGGCAGGAGGGAAGTGTGAGGTGGGATGCTGGGTGTATGGGCTGCGGCAGGGACTGGAGGCTGCTGGTCAGGATGGGGGGAAGACCTCTTTGGATTTGTGTTTGGGGTTTTTTTTTTTAATGTATTTTAATTTTGAAGGTATTTTCTGGCCTAGCATAAATAAGTTTTCCAGCCCTGCTGGGGGATGGAGCTGTGAGCTCCCTGGGTGCCATTACCGGGGCTGGTGGGGACGCCCCCGAGTTTGGGGATGGGGCTTTGAGTTCTGCTGCGGACCAGCAGCCGCCGCTCGCTGCCGAGGACGTCCGAGCCCAGAAAGCGGCTCGCTGCCAAGAAATCTGTGCTTGAAAAATGGTGCAGCTGCTTCCTGCAGCATCCGGATCCGGACAGGGCGGCTCCAAGAGTCCCAGGCTTCCCAAGCGTTGTCCGAAAAGCGGCTTCGTGGCCCGGTGTGCGGTCAGTCGACAGTCACACGCGCGGGAGAGGCGTTGCTTATTTATTTCTGTGCACAGACGGGTGCTGGGCGGTAAGTCCCCAAACCGAGCGCACCTCGGTTA